AGAGTGAGTAGTCCATGTTGAAGTTGAAGAACATGAAACTTAAAAGGTACCCACTTCTGTACTTCTGGATTGAAAGAACAGGTTGCGTGCGTTTAATAAAAACACACGCAAGTAGCCAGTGCTAGCTCTGTACAACCGATCTACCCTTTGATGAGTCCATAGTTTTGTTCTTTTTATATTAACTATAATTTCTGTAGTTTGTTATGTTTCCAAATTATATATTTGGATTGATATAATAACTGAATAAACAAAATATTAATAAATCATGGAAGAACTTCATCTGGTCCTGTGTATATGGTTTTTCATAATATTAGAACCAAAAAGATAATTAAAAAACTAAATAAACAATATTTATACATTCGCCAGTACATTCAAGCCTTTGAATGCTCTGGCATCAAGGTAGCCAATATGTACAAGAACCTTAAATGACAACATAATCATCATGTTTTACTGGGCAATATTTTCTACTGTGTAAATAAAACAATAAGTCAATAATAAAAAAAAAAAATGTGTACTTTAACAGCTTAGAAATGTCATGAAAAATGTGAAAAATTTGTATTCTAATAGTCTTTATTTATCTCAAACAAAAAAAAAACACTCTTAAAATACTCAGCCAACAAACACTGTATACAGTATATTTCAATATATACAATTTACACGGAAAAAATAGTTCTGACTTCCAATAAAAATAAATTAGAGATAATATTTAGTCATTGTTAAACAAAAAAATTAATTACACTAAACACTATGTTCGATTTCAACAGTTTCACGGCATGCTTATCTGATAACGCATCTCGGATATTTCTAATTTAAATTCACTGGCAAGAAATGATCAAAGCTTTGGTACACATTATGGACATCAATAAAACGTGGAATCAGAATTGGACTGTTCACCCCAAAGTTCATTAGCCACGGAATGACTTTAAGTTGACCTACATAAAATGCGCATGCATGTAACTGAGAGAGGGGTAGTGATGGATACCTTTAAGCTTAAAGATGTATTGTCCCCTGAAATGACAAAATATCAAAAAATAATTTTGAAATTAAGTTGCTCATTTTGCAATATTAAAAAATTATTAACTTGATCAAAGAAATTATTGATAATAAAAATAATAACACCCTTCAAGTGACTAGAGAGGTCTATTATTTTCCGGTGTAAAAGTATGGGATAAACATTTATTAACCATACACTGTTTCTATCCAACAAAATATGTTACGTTAAAATGAGCAAGTTAATTTAAAAAAAAATTTTAATGATTTTTTTTTTGTATTTTACATGGGATGATACATCTATAGATTATTGATAGAAAATTTCTTCTTGTCTTTTGGTTTTTAACTTTGAGTGAGTGTTTGTGCAGTGTGGGATGTGTGTAGGAGTGCGTGTGTGTGGTGAGGGTTGGTTGAGGTGGTGATGTTAATGTGTGTACTGTACACTTTCAATGGAAATTAAAATAGTGATGGATTTTATATGATTCTTAAATGTAAACAAATTAAATGTCATAAAATACATGTATTAAACTTTTATTGTTATAAAAGAATATATATCATCTTTTAAAAATATACAGGTTTATTAAGTTCTTATATTTCATAGTCAAGCTAAGAGAGTAACATTATGAATAACATGCTCTTTTTCTACTCTGAAGGGTCATAGGTTAAAATCAGGTACAATGGAAAGACCCTTTTCCTCGTAATTAAAAACAGTTTCGATTAGAGGCCTTGTAATAAGACTTGGGTTATTGGACACCGTATAATTACATTCCTTCTGTAATTGGTAAGTGTACTTGTGGTTAGATACTTAAGAAATAGTTTCCTACTGAAATTATACAATTACATTGTTATAATTTCTTGTTGGTGTTTGTTTTAAATTTAGCTTTATACTGTTGGTTCTAATTTCTAATTAAACCATTCTGTAGTTATTAATCATTATCAATTAATGAATTTATATTTTTCATTAGACCTATAGTATTCTCCACTTAAAACGATATGCTTGATGTTTAAAATATTATAACAATAAAACAAACAAATAACACTAAAAATAATATAAGCATTAACAATAATAAAATTAAGATTATGATTGTTCAATAATGCAATAACAAAAACAACAATAACAATCCAAAATCAACAGATTTTATCGTAATATTAATATTAAACAAATTTATTAATACATTTATTATTTTAACTCCACACACTATGAGATGAGTTGGCTCATAACAGTAAACTAAGTTTATACTGCATTATGAAAAGGGAAATACAGGCCTCCATCTAATGAAAGACCCTCCAATTAAAGACCACATTTCCAAAAGTGGTCTTTAATTGGAGGGAGACCTGTATCTGAAACCTGAACAATTAATTAAGAAATAATAGTGTACATTCTCATAATAATTTGCAATTATTTTTACTGAAAATAATTTGTCACTCAAAATTAGCACTTAGAAGGCCTGTCGATGATAAGTTGAAACTGTTGTCGTTCACGTGGCCACTTTAGTAAGCGTGGTCTGATTGCAGGTTGACGTTTGTAAACACAACTAGCATACAGAATTCTCTTGCGGAATCAATAAAATTGCATACCTGAAATACTTCATCATCAACCTACTTTCTGGATCCTAACAAGAAGAAGATAACGAGAGGGGACTTCTGCCCCAACATAACAGTAGCTAGCTACTTTTTTGCACTTAAATCAAAGTGAATAAAATTTTCCCTTTCTTCCCATTTCACCTCAATTGAAAAAAAAAACCCAGTACAAACCACCCATAAAATGTTTGTGCCACTAAACAATGGTATATGCTAGAGTGTTGTTGTCATTAGATATACAACATTTTAAGAAAATGTTTGTGGAGGAATACTGTAAAAATGGAGTCCCATTCAATCAGCAGGCAGATTAAAAAGGATCCAGCCAGGGCCTCCCTAATTCTTTAAAAATTATGCAAAAATTGAAGGAAAAAAAATTATAAATAAATAAGTGATAAAGTGCCATAATACAAACATTTAGGCACCATAGTCATAACATTTTCGCATCTCAGCCCCAATTATGGTCGGACTAAGGTGGTCTCCACCTGTCAAAATACCTCCATGGGCCCCCTCTATTTGAATTTCTGGTTCTGCGACTGTTCATTGTTAGCTAAAATTTGATTTCTAGATATTCATCCATGACAGCTACACACAGCATCAGCTGAGGGCACTCAGATATTAATCAAAGAGGTCTTCATTCGACTGGGAAAGTAAACACCTTAAAGACACAAATTAATTTAGTTCAAATTCTAATGCAGTAAGTTTTATCGGGGAGGGGCAAGCCTAATTAGCAAAGCTATTTCACTAGTCGCCTTTTGTTTCAGGTGAAATAAACTATAGCAATTATATCTGCCATCATAGATTTCAAAAACCTCATAAAAAAGCACAAGTATGTTTTCTCTCATAATTAAAAACCACTCCAATGTTTCCACAGCACAGACTTTTTTTTTTGTTAAGTTAAATACCTTTGAAATTTCATGGCCCATCATGCAAATTTATGGACAACAATGCATTGCATATAATGTCACAATATCTGTTTGATTTGACATAACGGGTCAACATGATATGACAGCGTTTGATGTTCATGTTTTTGTACAAAATGTACATAGAGGGCCTAGGCCAAGAAATCTTTTATATTCCAAATCACTTTTTATTCATACCTATACTTCTCTACTCTAATGTATCATTGGTTCACAAATACACTGGAACGGAGTAAAAGAATGATGTCCTCGGTTTGCCCTCCCGGCCCCCGCTTGCGCCACCCATTGGCATCGGCATTCTATGCATTGTGCGACCTTACAAGCTTGACTGAGTTTAACATGCCCCTATCGTCACAAAATCCATAGCAACCAAAGCATAATTAACCGTAAGCATATGACGAATTACCCACGTGCGTATCAGCTGCCATGATAATCGCACGTCGTGCGGTGATTACAACAGTATTAAATAATTGTTTGCACTAACATCAGATTTAAAATATATTTGCTATCACAACATTAATTTTACCGATAAGGTGGTGTCTGGTCTTTCAGAAAAAAATGTCTATATCTACTAACATGTTCGTTTTGTGCACCTTAGTCCAACATTGTCAAAATGAAAGTTTTAATGTTATACAGTATAAGAAATTGAATTTAATCATAAATTTTCATTTGATATAACTCTTCATTTTGTTGGTCATTTTTTACGAATCAAACTGTAGTTCATATAGAAGCACTTAACAAGCTTGTGGTTCAAAGAAATCAGATGCAACAAACATTGCGAAGTACACAAAATTAATGAAATAGTAACTAACACCATAAACCGTATGGCACGCATTGACTAATAATTGATGGCTGTACTAATATCGGATTCTCGTTGCCACGGTTAAGATCAAAGGACTGTATGTACTTGCTATGTTCACAGGCCTAGGTTCTGTCACCCAGCGATTTGACCTCGTTCAAGAAATAAATTTGCCTATATTCATGTTTCCAATAAAAATATCTGAATCTCAACAGATTTATAGAGAAAAATAGCAAAATGGCTGCTTTCCTATAATTAATTAGGTACTGTAATAAGCAGTAGCAGATTCAAGGGGGGAGGGGGTAGCCGGCACAGACCTCGAAAATTCTAAATTTTGTATAAATAGAGAAAAGAAAATTATATTTCTGCCATTTCTAGGCATCTAAAAGTGCCATAATCATACATTTTTTTTTTTTTTGCTATACAATAAAGCATAAATTAAAGAACATGAGATTTTATCCTGAAATTAATGACTTTTTGTTGATTGAGAATGAAAATAATGTACAATAATTAAAATTAGCTTTAAAAAACCTCTGAATCCATTGGGACTAAAATCTGTGTAATTTCTTTTTTAAATATTTTCATTTCTGATAATTATGAGTTGAAAGATCTTTTGTAGTTTCCGACGCTTGATCAACGGGACCATCTGCCACGTGTCGGACAGATCCAAGACGGCCAGGAGGCATTAGAGATAGCTGTACTCAATCATATCTGAACTCACACAAATGTCACAACCCATTAAGTTGCAGTACCATAAATATAATAGTACATTGAGCTGAAAGAAACATCCCACATAGACCATCTGTTAACAAAGAGGTAATAAAATGTTTCCATGACAAAATAACATTCACAAAATGAGATTCAGCTTTATTATTAATGTGATACAGAGATTCATGGAACTATTATTAATAGCAAATTTGTGCACTAATGTACACACATACCCTCTCTTTTACTATACAGTATGTTACATATTTAATACATTGTCCTGTTAGCATTACAAGGTCGTATCTCTGCTTTTGTCATTTTGGGAAAGAGATTTTTCAATTGCTTCTGGACACATCGCTATTTCAAACTTAATTCAGTTTTCAAATGGATGTTGTTATGTAGAGTATTTGTAACAAGAGAATGTCTACATAAGAAAAACTACTGAAGCCCTCTATCTCAAATTTTTAGTTTAGGTATCTAGGAGTTTTCAAATGGGGGCTGAAGGGAGAAGGGGGTGAGGCAAAATGGGGAGGGGGCATGAGGCGAGGCTCGATGATTAGGTGGGGAGCGTTGCTTACAAAATAAGGTGATTTGAGTTTTTAAACAACTTGAACATGATTTTTGGGAGGTGCCTGGGGGTGCGACTATTTTTTTGGTAGGCCTGATTCCATACCCCCCTAGATAAGGCACTGCCTTTTTTTTGTATAAAAACAAATTTGTTGATTTTTACATAATTTATACAAATTTAATATGTTGAATCCGATTAGAATGATACTGGATTGGATTGGACTGGTGGTTTAGTAGTTAAAACACCAGGCTATAGTAGTTAGCTGGAGGTTGTGAGTTCGAATCCCAACCGAATCACTTGCAAGATTTTTTTTTTTTTTCGAAAGTATATGTACTGAGCATTCAGTATTATTAAACATGTCAGGCTTAACTGCTGCTAAACAAATAATCTATCCTAATCTGCTTACTCTGATCTATCTGATCAGGCATTGTTTCATGCAGTTCTATGGTTGCTTTATGCCAACAGTTAGCTCCTGAACTAGTATAACTTCAGAGTAAATGCCCTGCCCAAGGACACAACCAACCAATGTGACCAGTGTCTCTAACTCACCAACCACTTGAACAAACAAAAACCAGTGACGGATCTAGGATTTAAGAATAGGCGTGGCTAGGTAGTGTACAAACATTGTTCAGACAAAGGGGGGGAGGGGGCCATAAATACCAAACTTACAAACACAAAACACTTTATCACGTCCCCTCAGACCCATATAAGTTATTCGTGATGATGACATAATTATTGTTGAAATATTGAATCTCGACACGATGGCGTGCATTTCGATACTTGGTGTATGTACTGTATTATACCATCATAAAAGTTATATCATATTAGCCGACTCTTTCAGTGTTTAGCATTTTATGCATGTACCGATTTGGGAAGTTTCTTGTATGCATGTTTTACGTTGTTTGTTGAATGGTTTATAAACAATAATACATTCTAATAATAAATGACCACAACATAAGGAATTCCACTCTTTTAATGTTTAGCATACAGTAGATAGTTACAGAGACTTTTTATTGTTTACCAATCTCATTATACACATATCAAAATTCCAAGGAATGATGTTTTATGCGCGCACCACCTTGCGTGGAAGTTTATCCTATTAATTCTGATATGTATGTATATTCTATGTTGTTTGTTGACTGGTCGTTAGGGATAAACATCTTTGTGGATAAATATGATATTTTGTTATCCACTGATAGCATATAAATATATTACATATTATCATAATATTCATCTGACATTTTAATAAATATTTCTTCATTAATTTATGAAATGACAAATTTCAAATATTTCAAATTTCAAATAAACATTTATTTCTCCACACAATAAAATATAATAACAAAAGACAAATATTAAACAGCCAGATTACATAAAAACATGAGACACAGAACAAAACAAATTTTGATTTTAATGGTTTTCAATTTTGGGCTGGCTGGTCTCTGCTTCAGGCTAATATTTATAGGGTTATGCTTAGATAAGGAATTTCATAGTTTATATTACTTTTCTTGTGGACATCATTTTCAACTTTCAGATCTAAATTTCCTGTCTACCAATGTTATTCTAGTTTGTTGCCATTTATTCCAATTCTTGGAATGGTGATTGTTTCTTATTATTTGTTGTATTGTATGGTAGTTTAATTTTCAAGTGAATTTTCTTAATATTATAAGTGTTCTCTGTGCATATACTGTAATCCTCAACTAATTATTTGTACAGGCTCTTTTAGGTTGATTTTCTCAAAACCTGGTTCTCAAACAGTACATCAAAACATCAAACGCTCACATCTCTGAATCTACTACTGTACTTATAAACTCAATTTTTGATTTTCCAACCATCGAGCCGCATGTTGTGGTACGGCCTCGTATATACTATATTTGTTTATACCTCAACAAAATAAGGATAAAGCAAAAAAAATTATAACTTACTGGATTCGTCTGAGTCATTTGACACCATTACACTTTGGTTGAGTGAGTCTTGCCGTAATGGAAGACGTTTCATCTGTAGATAATTAAAAATATTTTTTTTTAAAATTGAGGAACTCCTAAGAACTTAATTCTAAACAGTTTATAAAAGTATTTGTCAGAAACAATAAATAGTACATCTCAAATATTGAATAATGAAAATAAAATAATAAAGTTGGTATTATAACTATATATGCAAATTATTACAAATTTTATGTTTAATAATTTCATTTTTAATAATTAATATTGCGCTAAATTAAAAAAAAAACATGGTATTATTATTATTATTATTATTATTATTATTATTATTATTATTATTATTATTATTATCTAAATTAAACAAGAACAGTTTATGTTACAGTAAAGACTAACTGGCCCAAAATCTTGAAATCCAGTTTTTCAGGACAAAATTTTTTGTCTATCAAGAACGAGCAAAAAGCAACTTTTCAAGTATTATCAAAGATACTAGAAACACAAGATACAGCACTGGCATAGCAAAAGTAAGGCGAATATACGTCACATCTTAACTCCAGTCGTAAACGGCGCCCCTGAGTTTGCAATATAGAACTTACACGTTTATCCAGTTAACATCCAGACGTATAGGGCACCCTTTTGTTGATAAAAAATTCCAGGCGTACGCGGTGCCCATTTTTTTTTCGCTAAAGATGGAAACTTTATCACTAATCAGAGTCTGATCATGCGATTTTGCACTTTTGTGTCTGTTATTATATTTATTTGATTTATATATGCCTACTTGTTTGTATGTTATGGGTGGCAACGATTTCTACATTCGCTAAACGGACTGCCAAAAGTGGTTATGTATTCACGGTGATGTACGTTTGGCAAACATTTTTTAGATCCAGCCGTACACGGCACCCCATTGTTTGTACTTCCTCCATGCATTTTGGTGGAACACTTTTTTCTGTGGAGAAATCTTTTGTTTCTAGTATCTTTGGTATTATTTAATAACTTTGATATCCTAAAACCATGCATATTAGCCCTCTGATTACCATTTCACCTAACAAAATGTATAGGATAAGTAGTCGGCAATGAATCTTAATATTAGTAAAAATATATAGAGAAGCGCAGACCCACCAACCCTGATTTCCAATTGGCAATCAGCAACTTAAGTTGATTTGGCCTTAACTATATTCTTATTCTTTAATTGCTTTCAATTTCTGGTTATCAAACACATTAAAAACATGTATCACAAGACAAAACCTCCTGCACGCACAGGAATTCTATTCAGCACAGACCAAATGTTGTACATGAAAATATACATATGATACAGGGTACCAATTTATACCCATGGGATTAATATAACCCAGATTATGTACTTTGCTCAAGAACAATAGAATAGTGTTATCTACCCTACCTGACCTCTTGGTTTGAGAGCCTGGATAATTTTATTGTCAAATACTAATCAAACACAAATCAAACACATAACAATTTATTATCAAAATTAAAAGTTAATGTCTTCAAAGGAGTAAACTTACATAAACACCAGTCATTGTAGAAAGGTCATAAAATGATATGATATACAGGTCTCCTTCTAATTAAAGACCCCTCCAAATAAGGACCACCTCCAATTAAAAACCACTTTCTTGCGGTCCCAAATGTCTTTTATCCTTATTAACCTAAACCAAAGCTTCTACGACCATGGAAACGCTGGTCCAAAAAATGGCCTTTAATTGGAGGGAGCCTGTACTTGTAGCATGTGCTGTCCCCTTTTTTGTGGTACAATCAAAGAACTTACTTCTAAATAATTCTTTATCTCTTCTGCTCTTGTCATGAATCGCATCACTTCTGATTGCAACAGTTCCTTTTGTTTGCCTTTTGATTCATCTTTAAGTAAAATAAACATGTAAAGTTCAATAAACCTCCATTTAAAAAAAGTTACAATTATACAGGTCTCTGTCAAATTAATGACCCCTCCAATTAAAGACCACCTCAAATTACAGACCACATTTCTGTGATCCCAAATTAAATTTCTTTAATCTGTATTATTACCAGCTAAAACCATGGAAACTTTTATGGCAGAGAGAGACTTTACCTAATTGTAATAGGAATAAGTGTTCAGCAATTTGTTGAGGGTGAAATGCACCAGGATAAGCCACAAAATCTGATGATTCTTTCAAGATGGGACCCTCTGGTTTTTCTAATGACTATATTACCAAACTTATTTGAATAAAACACCCTGCTTTGAACAAACGACACCCTCAAATAAACGCCTCCTTCAGAACATTATCTGAAATAAATGCCCCCTCAAATAAACGACCCAGAACATTTATTTTTTCCGTGGATCAACAACCCCCTCCCCAAATCACTGTAAAGAAAACTAATGGAAGCAACAGCATTCTAACACATCCTAATAATGTTCTACTCCAGTAGATTTTTTTTTTTTTTTCTAAACTAGTTAATGTGGGATCAATAATCTTTGATGGTAAGTATCTGTACAGTAGTTCCACATTTACAGTGAAATTAAGGGGTGTTTATACATATTCATTTTACATACAAAAAAGTAAACAACTGTCTTGAATAAACACTTCCCTTTAAGAAATGCCCCCTCAAAAACTCTTTTTAACAGTAAACGCGCCAGGGTTTTTTATTCGAATAAATATTGTACGTTCTTTAACATGCATGTGAGCCATTTTGTACAAGGTGTTACATCTCATCTGAAATATGGTTTGCTATTTAAACTTGTACTTCAGGCCTATTGATGCAACACAAGGAGAGCAGGGATGGATTTGAACCAGAAGTTAAAGTTCTGAAAGGATTTCAATTGGTCAGTTCACACACAATTGCTACCAATTTATTCTGGACTAAAAAGCTATGCTGCCGTTTATGAAACATTATACAAAGGCAACATATAAGTAAACATGGACATGCATGTATGCAGCAACAAGTGAAATAGCATGGGATAAATATACCATATTTATTTCAATAAACCCCCTAAGTGTTTATTGTTGAGACAGGTTTTTGAGGGGGCATATATTGTTTAGAAGGGTTTTAAGGGACTTCTATTTGAAGGAGGCGTTTATTCGAGGGACGTATTTATTCGAGGGAGGCATTTTTTTTTTTTTGGTGTAAAATGGTTATATATACACTGAAATAAACACTGGTTAATTTTACTGTCATTATAAATCATAAAGATGTATTGATCCTAACCAGGCTAGAAAAATTTAATTCTACTGAAGCATAACATTAATAGAATGTGTTGAGAATAATGTTGCTTCAGTTTTGTTTAGTAGCGTTTGTTCAAAGCAAGGCGTTTATTCGAATAAATAAGGAATATGGATACACAGATAAGCTGACAGATCAATGGATTGTTTGCCATAATATACACTTAAATGTAGATAGCAAGACAGATAGACAGCCCAGTATAGAATATCTATAACATGAAGTGGAACGACATGACATAAGGACTTGACAGTGCTTACTTTGTAATATTAGTAGCAGTTGCCCAAGTGCATCCTCATATTTACTAAATGCTTCTTGGTAGTTTTCTTCTTCATCCTGCAAGATACATTGTGTTTGGATGTAAAAGAAGAACAATGATAATGTCAATTCTAACGTCAACATTTGACATTCAATATACTTTTGCTATCGTCAATAGCGCTCTAATTTTCTATTAGCGTACGTTTAGCTTGATCTTTTTGTGGCTTGTGCCAAAGTGTCATACAATAGACGTCATCACAATTTGGCAGAGTGGTTATAAAATTCTAAACGAAGCCTAAAAGTCCTATTCTATAACGTTGCGAGTTTTTGTGGTCCAGGAAAGCAAGCAAAAGAAACAAAGTACGGGGGTAAGATACTTTTTAAAACATTGGTAGGTTAAGGAAGGTTCATAGAACCATCAGAAGACGTTTGATTTGATTTTCATGTAAAATTAAGTTAAATATACGTAGAGTTTTTACAGGCTAGGCCTCGACCCCTGACACTTGTAGCGCGACAACGCGACATGGCTGGATGGGATGATTGAGTGAGGCCTGACTGTAAACATTCAGCTCCGTGCAGTCTGCCAAAGTTATTGGTGTGAATTTCAATAATTTTGAAGAACTTAGCTCTCCTTGAAATCTGCAAGTACAACACATTTCATGAGTTTTGCAACAAGCACATTCATCGACCGACGCCATGATTCACTGTGGGTGAATACACGGCTGCCGTCGTCGTGCTGTAACACAGGCAGACACGACCAATGTACGTTTCACTCCCAAAATAGTACAATTTATTCTCGTTATATTTCACATTTGGCATACACAATCATAGAGAAATGATGACATTACATTCATAAACATTTAACAATGGTTTATGTTAATTTAAATCAAGCTCAACTTTACACACAAAGCATGTATGAGATGTTTTACTAAAGGCTATTTTCTTAAATTACTGTGTAAATCGCCTATCTTCATGTTTTGGCTCGAATACCCACTATAGCTGAACAGTGTCGATCGCTAATTCGGTCTATTACTATGCCAAATTGTCATACAAACCAGTTTACACCAAAGTAAATTATTTTGTGTGTATGTACATTTACCTTGATCTAGGTGTGCAGTGAGACAATGGTTTCATTGTTTATACACACTATATACTTAGGGTGTGTTCGAGCGAGAGCAGGAAAAAGTTACATACGGTTCTTACCTATATTGTATCCGCGGGTGGTCTACCAGACGTAAAACCTGAATGATGAGTTTCTATCAGGTTTCAAGTTGCCTTGGACCCTTGCGTCACCCAGCTGTGTCACCCCACCCTTTAATTAAAATACGGACTTTGGCGTTGTTCCACTGCATAATAATTGTCTCAAAATCAAGTAATGAAATTACCGAAGAAGCTACAACAATAATAGAGCTACAACAATAATAGAGCTACAACAATAATAGAGCTACAACAATAATAGAGCCAGAACAATAATAGAGCTACAACAATAATAGAGCATACAACAATAATAGAGCATACATACTGTAGCAAATAGCATTTATTTGACAATTGCAGTAGAAAATTACTACCACTGTTAAACGAATAAGCAGTGGTGCAATGATCAAATATGCTTGTGGCGGATGTATGTAAGTAATCTGGATTCTAGGCTAGCCCTCAGTTGAAATAATTTATCTTATCGAGCTTTTCAGTTTTGTTTTTGGAAATAATCTGCGAAAAGTAGCAGGGACCATGAACATAGACTTTACTTCTGGCGCGTACGTGTTGAAACAATCAAAGGGGATTAGTGATAAAAAATGCTCCCTGCTGCTAACGCTTGCTACTTTTGCTCCTCCAAAAACACTGCAACTTGCAGGGTTGGATTATCAGAAGGCGGTCTGTGTTTAACACCCGTTCGGGCTAAAACTGGAAATGCCTATTTCCGGAATTATCCTGTGTTAGACTCCACAAAAAACTCGCCTGAACACACCCCTAGTGAGCGTATTAAGCATGGAATTCATACAGCAAAAATTTACACAAGATGAAGGAAACTGAACCATTTAGAATGGGAATTTTTAAGGCTTAGATTCTCAAAAGTAATAAAACCTAGACTAGGCTACTAGAGGCTTAAGCTAGGCTAGGCAAAGAGGTCTCCCTTATTACTAAATTAAAATGAAATCTCACACACAGAGCAAATGTTATTGGTGATATACTATTCTATTGCTCTATGATCCAGTTTTCCCTGTCTATGTGATGAAACTAATTCTAAACTAAAGAATGTTATTATTTAGTTTTATATTTCAAAAAAGAAAAGTCAATGACTTCTAAACAATTAGTGTATTTGTCTTTCATACACTAGTTGAAAAATTAGTACACATCAGAGCAATTCAATAATATTAATAATAAAAATAATAATAAAAAAATAATAAAGTTAATACATAAACAAATTTATATAAATATAAACAATAATTAATTTTTATAATAATAATAATAATGAAGTACTGTAAAACAAAATCTCACTAGTTTTTCAGCTTGGTCCGCAGTCTGCAATGCTGCCTTTAATGCAGGGCACCCATTGGCTAATCCATCTAAAAAAATAATAAGCAATTAGTAGAGCTCCACATAGTACACTATAGGAAAATTATTATACGAAGGTAAGATTTAATGCTTTAAAAAATTTCCTAAGGGCCTGCAAGGCCCGAAGGAAATTTCTGAATGCATTAAATCTAACTTAAGTATCATTTTATGCTAGTGTACGATGCGGAGCTCTACTAATATTTACTGTAAATATCTACAATTTGAAAGTTCTGGGTTCAATTCTAGAGAGGATTTTTTACCAAGAACTCCATTTCTTGGGACTCATAATGAGACTAATATAAGTATCATAACAAAGATAAGAACACAATTTGAAACCTTCTTGCAATGCAATGAGAGACACATGGTCTTAGGCTACTAAGCACAAAGGAGATTCTTTAGCGAAAAGGGAATGAGGACGATTGTTAGTTGTTAGGGAGAAGGTTCGTTCATGGCGCCATGGGTCGGAGTGTTCCATTTTAATTTGAAGGATTGTTCTGTTTTTGGAACAATAGCAATTAGTCGGTTTATCCAGTTAAGTATTCACAAAATAGATCTCTATTTTCCTGAAGAATTTTAGCTGCTCGCAAGAATGCAGAGGCCATACCAATATCTGGGGTTGCAAGTCTCCCGCAACACGTAGGAGTCTCCTGGAAATTGGGACATCCTCCCGCATTCCAGCAAGAATATAAGGCAAAATAACCAATCTCCCTGCAAATTCATAATATTTGCATGTTTTCACTACTTAATTATCAATTGTCTCACATAAGTCAGTGCTGATGTGTACTATGTGAAGTAAAATGAAATTAGATTTGTCGAGAGAGCTCATTTAACCGAACCTCCTAAAAGTTACTTGAGACTCCTGCAATATCTGGGAGACTTCTGCAAGTCACAGGACTTTTGGAATCCCTGTACCCCGGTCAATAATTGATCCTGAAGTGGATAAAAAAAAGAACTGGAGTGGAAGAAGAAAGAAGTCAGCTCGTACCTAACTCAAAGGAATTTGAACCTGTTTTTGGATTGCCAGTCTGAGGTCGTGCAGCAGATGGCTTGAATGATTGCTTCAATTCCTCAGCTCTTTTCATATATTCTCGGACCTGGAGTATAAAAAAAAAGATTATTTCAGTCTTATTTAGAATCTCAAAATTAATAGACCCTAGTCTAGGCTACTAAAGTTTACCCTAGGCTAGGCTAAGAGGCCATTGCCTATAATAGTACTACATGAAATCTCATTGGACAGTTACTCATGTACACAGAGCAGATGACCAATCAGAACAGGCCAGGAATATGCATGTGTCTAATAAGCCCACATGTTGTCCCACAAACGCATGTTAGTGTATGTTTTAACGCTGTCAATTTGTGGGACCTTAGCAACGATTTAATAAAAATGTACATTCTATTGCTCCATGATCATAGGCTTTACGTGGCTAAGATATGTAATGAAACTAGCATCAACCGAAAGGTCCACTGATTAATCTCAGATAAGAAAGTATAATACATACTCCAAGTATTGAAATACACGCCATCGTGTTGGGATTCAATATTTCGACATTAATTATGTCACCATCATTCCTGATGATGACATAATTAATGTCGAAATATTGAATCCCAACACGATAGCGTGTATTTCGAAACTAGCATGTTTTTGTATAATTTTTGCTTTATATTTTTAAAAAAAGCAATTAGTATATTTGTGTTCCATACACAACTGTAAGTTAAAAATTAATACAATTTAGAGTGATTAATGTTGATAATATGATGGAACAAAAACTATAGCTATAAATATATATTGCTGGTCAATGGATACAGAATCTCCTCCCTGGGGAGTGTTCCTAGTTTGCTAATTTTACTCTGAGTCATTCACCTCTTACCAGGTACCCATTTATACTCCTGGATGAATAGAGGCAAATGAAGTTACAGTGTCTTGCCCAAGGACACAAGCAGTTTGATGAGCATCAGTCTAGAACCTACCATCTTCGAGTGAAATCCCAATATCTTGTACGCTACGCCACACATGACTACTGCATGAAATATTGTGTATGTGTGAAATAGAAACAGGTTTGTAAAAAAACATTAAATGTTTGTATGTGAGAGATAAATAGGTTTGTAGGGAAAAAAAGAAATGTTTTTGTTTTTTTATATGAGAAATTGAAGATAGGTTTGTAGGGGAAAAAAAGTAATGTTTGTATGTTGGAAATATAAAATAGGTTTGTAGAAAAACAAAACATGTTTGCATCACCTTTGACCTTAAAGCTTCTTTTTTAGCACGATTCTTCTCATCTAAGAGGAAAAATATGAAAAATTAGTAAAGTACATTTTTTACAGAGTACTAAATTCAGACCTTCATTTTAAAGATCCTAAGAGTTTCATAAAGGTCATTTTCATCTTAAATCCACTTTAAACATTTTAAAAGTTGGTAATATTTGTAAATTGATTTGATGTTGAATAAATTGATGATCATCCATAAAGATCATTTTGAAAATGTAAACATCCTAAAATGTTTATTTTTGGATAGCTATGAAGCAGCATGAGAGTCCCACTTACATGCATGTTATTTCAAATATGTCAAATCATAAAGTGCAGAGTATTAATCTTATTACATATAAACAAAATTGCATTTAATTACGTTCCTTTATTCTCAACCCAACAGTAAATGATTCTCCATGTTAGAGGATTCAAAGAAAGTGATGTCCTATAAACCAAGTTTCATTTAAAATGAAGCTCAGGGAATGGTGTTTCAGGATTTGAACGTAGTGTCTTGGGACTGACAGGTCAGTGGAATGTCTGTCGACAGGGAATAAAACAGTACACTAAAAATGAGTGTTTAAGAGTTAAGCTCCTTTCACATCTATTCAGGTTCAGGTTCCGTTTTCAGTTCCGGTACCGGTTAAGAAATCGGACTTCTATTCTTACAACACTGAAGACGTATTCTATTCAAATCTGATCCGATCCAGTATCTGGCGGCCGGGTCCAGCATCTGGCAATCGGAACGGTTGGTCCTGGAGCGATTTTTTTCGACCAGATTCGAAACCTTTAGACTTCTGACCAATCAGAATTTTTCACATACCATAGTCAACCATTATATATCGCATCAGGTATTCATATTATTTGTCTAAAACATGGAAGGAACTAAAATCTAGACTATTAATATGTAGGTTACTAAACAGAGGTCAACAAACTCGCTGTTGGTAGGCCTAGGCTTACGTACCGTGCACATAATTCATAGGCCTAATGTAAGCTGTTTTATATAACAAATTCTTATATAGAATGTGTGTAAATGATACTAAAAATTAAAGTAACTTACAAATAATAGTACGAAAATGCAATTAAAAGAAGATTTTCAAAAGATAAACAATACGACACAACTCGCGGTGCAAGTTCCTTTTAACGATGCCAGACCTGAACGGAAAACGCAGTAGATTTGAACAGAATCAACAAAAACCGGACGAGGAACCGGAAATGAAAACGGAGTCTGAACTGGAACCTGAATAGATGTGAAAGGCGCTTTAGATGGGAAGAATATTTTCATTAGTTGAAAGATTAATGAATATGACGATTTTCTTTCCATTGCATGGATACAAAAACATTCAAAATATTATATTATCTATTTGTTATACTGTATTACAGTATTTGCTTTATTACACACCTAAAATTGATGCTTGCCATTTGATATTTTATGAAAAAAAAGTAGGGCCAAACTTTTGTCTGAATGGAACAGTTCACCATCTTTTAACCAATGAAAACTCTGTATTAAATGGAGGCAAGCAATGGGATGAAACAAATGGAACAAAAATAAACAATGAACAATCAAATTAGGTGTGTCATAAAAATAAAATAAACCGAAGTAAGAGATTGGTTGCTTACAGTGGACGGCCGGTAGAAAATATTCAAGAGCCTGGCAATATAGGCTAGCAGCAGACTTATAATCACCTTCTACATCTTTCTGTGTCGCTTCCATCACAATAAGTTTCTAGGAGAAAATTAAATAAGACTGGGTTACAATGTGATTATTTGCCAGATTTTGTCAGTCTTGTATTGGATTGTCAGACATAAAGCCATGACTTGGATACAAAGCTATTTAATATTAAACTGTATTGAGTTGAAGTCAAGAGTGTTTAAATTAAATTTTTCAATTTACAAGTAGTAATGATTTAAATGGGTTTCATGTATTAATGTACTTAAACAGAGAAAATATTTGGCATGCCTAAAACTTGTGTATTGTATTATACTTGAGTTTAACTTTGCAAACTATGCAAGTACTTAAGTAGCTTAAGTTAGTCAGGAACGTCCTGGGTATGACATTAAACGTCGGCGACTAAACTAAAAACCCTCTCTCAGATGTGTCTTAGTGGCATCTGGGGGAGGATGTTTATGGTCACCCAGTAGCAAAAAAAAACAATAGCTGAACAAAGGGCGGATGAGCTCCTCAGAGTCAATGGCCAACCATTAATTAGTTTAAGGAATAGGAGTAGTTTAGTCACATTGTTATTATTATTATCATTTTTTTTATTTTATTTTATTATTATTTTATTGTTATTTGTATTTCCTCGGTTGGCCTATATTATTTGTGTGTAAAGCGCATAGGGGAAATGTGCAACATGCACTATATAAATATATTATTATTACTATTATTATTATTATTATTATTATTATTATTATTATTATTATTATTATTATACATAATTGAGCTTATCAGTATTCATGGCTCCCTGAATTTTAATTTGAAAATACTATTAATATTAGAAACATTTTTTTCACCATTTTTTTTTTTAACTTGAAAAATTACTTTTTAATATAATCATATTCTTCACATTATAAATTTTGAAATGATAGGTTATTTACTGAAATCGACTTACTATTGGAAAAGTTATGAGTAAACGTATTACGGCTTCTCTATACCAAAGTATATAACACTGCCACATTCTAATCTTATGCTAATTACTTAGTTTAAAATTTGAGATAGCAAACCTAATATGTGCAGAATTTATCAGTATTTCTATTCTTTTGCTGTTGTTATTTTTGTCATCATTGATGTACAGTAGCTGCCGCAGGTAAAATAACATTTAAAAATTATTATACTTACAGCACGATCAATGCACTGTGGAGATGGCATATGCTCCAAGTCTACAAACTTATGATTAAAGAAGTCTTCAAAATTTATCCTCTGCTTGGGATCTCGTTGTAAAAGTCTGAACATCAGGTCGTGGCAGATATCAGATATGCGAATGGCTGAAGGTATCTGGAACAAAGGTGCAATAAAAATGATTAAAAAATTGAAAAATATTACTTAAGGCAGAAATCAGATACCTTCAAATTGAAAGACTAGTTGATTGGCCAACCTGTTAAGGGAAGGGCGCCACCAACAGTCAGAGCATTGGCGGCATAGGGGAGATAACCCGGTGTACTAGACAAGGCAGCACAAAAAAACCCCTTGAAATTCAATGACTATTGCAATATGTTTACATCAGTGGTTCCCAATCTGGGATTCATAGACCCCTAAGAGGTCTGCAAAAACATAATTGGGAATCTGCCAAACGAAAAAGGTGCATAGGAGGTTCAGTGAAAAATGTTGGTGTACACTAGACTTTTAGATCAATTTTTTTTTAATATTTATTTTTCTTATCTTACAACCGTGTGATAAGCATCTTACTGCTAATCATTAGGAGCCATATCAATAATTAAATCTTTGCGGCAAATCATCTTCTATCTATAATCTTACTCTATTGGTGGTATATCAACAGAGTAAATTTAACTGGGGTTCATAAATACTATTAACATGTCGCAAGGTGTTTGCAAATGCAAAAGGTTGGAAACTACTGACCTTTTCTAAAACAACCTTCTGCAGATGTAGGCCTACAGTTTATAAAAGTTAAGTATGACTGAATGATAATCAATATCAATCATTGATGAAGCAATTAAAATTTAAATTACCTTAATAGGCTCTTTGCTTTTTATCTTATCTGCTAGCTCACCATATGATTTGGAGGCAAATGGTGCTTTTCCAAATAAGCATTCTGAAAGAAAATGAAAAGGTAAAATTAATGATAAATCATTCACTTAAACAATAACTTAATCAATTTCTCCAATTATCACTTAATTGATCACTAACTCAACCAATCACATATAAATATTTACTCTATCAATGAGCTATACAATCAATCGATCAACCAACAAAAAAATCAATCACACATTTAATCATGGTACTATTTAATGTTATGTTTTAATTGTTTCAATTATATCATTCCTCTATTATTTATAAGTACTGTACCTTATACAGTATTATGATTGAATAGCATTCTACTATACATAGAAGTCCACTGTGTGGCATTGTGAGTAAAAGATTAAATAATATTGATTGTGTTAAAACTGTTATTTTCATTACCTCTATTTTAAATATAAAATCCTTGTTCATAGTATCTAATTGCGAAGAGTGTTTATGTTCCCTATGTTGCCCCGGTCATACAAAATATCACCCCCTCCATATATTACAATGTAAACAGTTAATTATAATAGGACCACTGGACACAACTCAAGTACTAGATTCATCTTTCTGTTGCTGCAGTCCAGGTAGATAGAGCCCCCTACCCTCTCCCTCAATTTTTGGAAAGTAAAATAAATGAAAAATAAAAAAGAAAGAAGGAAAAAGAAATTATTGATCGCCCAAAACACTTGATTGGATTTCTTTGGTCTAAGAGACACCAGGACCTGTACTGCCAAGTATGATCCAAACAAAACTGAAGACTTTAATATTCTAATGTTGACATAACAGAATTAGGTACATTAGTATAGCTTACCAAACATGATAACCCCAACAGACCACAGATCTACCTTAGCATCGTATGTATCCTTCAGGATGATCTCGGGGGCCATGTACAGAGGTGAGCCCCTTAAACTCTCACTGTTTACCTCCCTCTCAACATACTGAGCAAAACCAAAATCTGTATAAAGACATTAAGAGAGTTTTTTTAACTCCAATGTGTTAGGCATATCTTTTATTATAACACACCTAAATAGATCCCAGTCATATGATTGGTTGATTTCGTACCATGTGACGTTACAATTGTAATTTTGCCCATTTCATCTCTCATCATTGAAATTTTGTTCAATCATGCATTTTTTCCATCCGAATTGTCTATTGCATGTTGCGTACGGATACGAAATGACTTCAACCTAATGCAATCTTTTGATTGATTAAAACGACGAGTGACTGACTTTTTCCGGAGGGTTAAATCCATGAAATGATGTCACACCACCCGTAACCTATCTCAGGCCTACTCCTTGCTGAACTTGTCTTAGCGGTGTGCAATGTACCGGAGATTTTGTTTACAAACAGCTGTAAAGTATTCTGATTGGGTGGATGACACCTCAAAAAGTAGCTCAAACTTGTGCAAAATCTGAGCGGAATTTGGCTCTTATTTTCCAAAATGCGCTGACAGATTTCTAGCCTAGCCCTAGGCCTACAGTAGGTTTTGCGCAGAGCATAGGCCTAGGCCAGGCTAGGCTAGTTGATTGGAACAGTCAATCTTTTACAACTTATGAAAATATTCTTCCCATTGCACTCATAAACATTCATTGTTTGCATAGAACTAAATACTAGTATTATTATACGCATACAACTCAGCGTACTGCTTATAGACTGCAAACAGCGTATGCAAATTTCACATTGATTGTTTTGGCTGGGTCAAGTTAGACACATTTAGCGCAAGTCCGAATGTTTAGCATTCACTCTATGAACAATGTTTTTCAAGCCTAGTCTTATAATAATATTGCAGTTTTCCAAGGTTCAGCGAACACAGTGGCTACCACTAGCCGACTGAGCTAAGCTGAATTAGTCTAGCACAAGGGTTCTCAACTATATCGCAACAAGGGCCAAAATTGTTCATTAAATAAATTTGAAGGGTCAGGGCAAGCAGTGTACTTTGGCATGTAGCGCCATCCGAGTGTCGCAAGCACGAGCCGGGGAGGGAAAATTAAACATTTTTTGAAAACAATAAGCCGCTAGACGCTCATACAGGGCATCTTGACTAAGAAAGTTACTCTTGGCCGAAAGGCATGTTATCATTTCTCGTCTTTGCTCTTTGCTGCGATAGTTCTTCCGATTTGATTGACTATATCGCTAAAATTTGTGGGGCTATCATAAGCCTAGTCGGCAAAACAGAATGAAAGATTATTAAGGTTAGAAATCTAGGCCAAATCCTAAAGGAAAATATAATTTTCAGCTTGTTCTCGCAGGCCGCATAACACGCACCCACGGGACGCCAGTTGAGAATTCCTGGTGTAGCAGGTGCTTCTGAAAAATATTTCTGATTCAGGATAGGAAAATATTAAAGAAAAATTGATGACATCATGAATGACTTATTATATAATATTTACCTGCGACCTTTAGCACTGGGTCATATGAGTTGGAGAGCAGTAGATTGTGAGGCTTTAAATCCATGTGAGATATGCTGTTGGAATGTAGGAACTGTAATGCACTAGCTGAAAAATAATAGCCACAATAGTAATAGTAGTAGTAGCATAACACTGAACAAGGAATGATGTTTTGCCCTACCTTTCGTGTGTACTGAATGCTCAGTTTACAATAATATTGTAATAATAATCAATAACAATACTAAAATTTGTAAATTTTGGATGATTTTGCACTTTATTCACAAATAGAGTATTACAGTGTTACACCACAATACAACGTGATACTACTCCATTGGCGACACAAAATGCATTCAACCGGATGCCATTTTCTCCACTGACAAACCATTGATCCCAATTTCTAACATAATTATTAAGATGTTGTATCTTAATTTTTCTTTGTAAATTTTAATTGATGATTAAATGAGTGTTCGATAATATATAATGCATGCTTTTGTGTTTTTAGCACATTTTAATGGTAAATTATTAGGTTTTAAAATGCCTATTCCAGAAATCCTATTCTAAACCATTAAGTTTATCAAAGTTATTCAGTTCCAACTAAAAAAGTGTTATGTAAGCCTCATAGGCTATATACTTGGAGTTGCACTGGAATAAAAATACATAAGCATTAAAATTAATAACGAATATAGTATATTTCGTAACATCAAATAGTAACAATTACACAGTATATATAACAGGGTGATGGCTGGGTAACCAACGTCTGGTTGACAACAAAGGGTGAAACATTGTGTTGTGATGACACGAATGTTGTACTCTATAGCATTGAGTTGGATGTGAATCTATATCTGCGGGATTTTGCCAAATTTGGTCTTCATCAGTGCGTCATGTTCTTATGATGCATTCAATGCCTTACCTAATTGTTGTAAAAATCGTCGAACAACGCGTTCAGGAAGCGCTCTTTTTGTTGCCAAAAACTTGGATAAATCTCCACCACTGCAATACTCCATTATCAAGTATATGTAATGGCCATCCCACTATAGGAAAAAAATAAGAAGAAATAAACACATTTTAAACTTGTTTATTATTGCTATTATTAATTATTCTTAGTGTCAATCTTTCTTTTTATTGAAGGGTACAGTATGGAGTGGTTATTCCGTGGCACATTCACTGAACTTAAGCATGTGGACACACTGACCAGAAAAAAAAGTGTTACCTGGAATGCGCTTGATATAATAATAATAATAATAATAATAATAATAATAATAATAATAATAATAATAATAATGTAATGAAAGAGCAGCTTAAGCCGAGTCACCTAAAATAGAGGTGCCACTCTGCGCGCGCTCAACCGTGAGGGTCTCTAGGTCCCTGGTTAATGTTCCATCGCTGCTCTCCTTTCTCCGTTTCAGTTTGGCCGAAATACAAGTTCTGATGATGCACTGTCTTTTGGATGTGACGTTTAAGCCATTTGGTTCCATGTGCCATATGGCTGTATGTGCAATTTGAATGCAGTTTACACTCTTTGGAAAGTGGTGGTAGGGGATTACTGAACACCGTACACTCTTTTGAAAATGGCAGGGAATTATCTCCCAGTGTACTGCCAAATTCAACGACACAAGGACACCACTGGAAACAAGTCTTCGGACTTAGTGGGTTAGGCCTATCCTGGGTAGGATGGGATTCACATCAAATTTGGTATATCCTATCCAGTTAAAAACAAAAATACAGGAATTTATACCACCACTACTTACAAATTAACAAATTCTGTATTCTGTAATAAAATAAAATCAATTTATGTTATAAAGAAGCATCATTTCTAGCAATATTAATATCTTGTTCACTTACCTGAAAGTCTATTAAGTTGACAATGTGATCATGTTTTACTTTCTTTAATATTTCAATCTCTGTCAACAGGTTCTCTGTGGAGGATTTGGACAAGCCCTTTTTGAGAATGCACTTGACAGCAACAACTTCTCTGTGTGCCACCTAAGTAAAATATAAAATAGAAATACTCTTTTGCTTGAAGTAGGCTAGGCCCTAAAATAAACGATACAACAAATCACGGTATCCTGGTACGCTTCATACCTAGGGTCCTAGCTTATGACCTGTCTGGTTTCTGTCAATACTGCTAGGCTAGGCCTATAGGCCCAGATACGTTAGGCCAGTTGCAGTATAAGCCAGCCAGCCAACTTAGCGTAAAGACAATGTAACGCTAAGCCCTAGCTAGCTAAATTAAATAGAGCCTTACTTAGCTGCCTAGGCCTGATTAGTTTATTGGATGGTGATGTAGTCAGCATTAAACAATGACAATTGTAGAAGTGTTTTACATTTAATAGAAAGTACACATATTAACCTTTCTAAAGCCTTTGTATACAGTTGCATATGTCCCACTGCCTAATTTTTCAGTTAAAATAAATCCTTTTAACGTAGGGACAGGGGCTAAGCCTGCCATGTTTCGCTAATGCTATGCAACAATGGTGGCGCTATTAAAGAGAAGTTTACTGGCTGTGGTGGGTGTGCTAAATAGCCAAAAGCTGAATTTGGCTACAAATTTTCATTCAAAATTAGCCAAAAAATTAAATATTAGATTTAATAATCACAAATAATCAATCTGTACTGATAAGAACCTTCCGATAGCCACACATGTCAATTCTCCTAACCATAACATCAACAATTTTAGATGTGTACTCATAACCAACAACTTTAAATCTCTGAACCGGCGATCGCCGCATTTCCGAACTCAAACTTATACTTAAACACAAAACCCACACCATAGGCCTCGATAAAGATATAGACTTTCTCAGTGATTACAACTTCCCATACAATTAATTCTCACCATCTCTATTCCGTTCACAATTGATATCTGATATATTATGCTTTCTCTATTAACACCATACCATTATTTTTATATGTCTATATTAT